AGGTTTGCGCTGACAAGTTGATTTCTTTAATCGTCTTTTGTGATGAAATATGTGATAAGGTTGATGCTGATCTATCTTGCAGACACAGAGGAGTTATCAAAACTCAATTTTGTAAATCCATTCAATGTAATTTAATTATCTCAGATGTACATGCTAAGTGATTATCATGGGGTCCTTATCTATTCTCTGCAGATGTGTTAAACTCAGCTTGCTATGTCTTTTACATGTCAGTGTCTAAGTGAAAGTGAATCTCTGGTTTTCTAAAGTGAATCTTGGGTCTAGACTGTCCTTATAATCGTTGATGTTTTTACTAACAAAGATCTTTTGAGTGAGTCTTATAAGGTATCTCCATATCCCTACGAATGATAGCCAACAGATAAATGTCACTTCTTTCTATGATCATGCAACTCAGGTGACTCCAGGTAAGTTTTCTCTCTGTGAACCGGTTAGTTTTATCAGAATATGCAATCAAGTAGAATCTGGTAATATGATTACAAGCAGGGGGAGAATCGTGTAAAAGATTGATTGGTTATCTAGAACTCTTGTAGAAAGTTTTACACTGTACCTGCTTGAGATTTGAGCAATTCACAAATTATTTTGTGACTAATGGTTTAGTGAATTATATTGCTTCCGCGCTTCACTGGTTGTGTGTTTTTGAGTTGATGCAGATTCAGAGATTGACATATTCAGATAAAAAGGGGGAGAGTGTAAGCTCAAGGATTTGGAGCTTGACATGTTGGTGCAATGACACAGAGAGAGTGTTAGTTGACAAGATTATTCGGAGTGTGGCTCATACATATGCAAGGATGTTTGAGTCTAGAGTGTTGCGGTTGTGTTACACATGGGCGTTAGTGTGTTACACAAGGCACGTAGAATGAAGAACTAAAGCGTGATGACGTGGAGAGTTTTCATTGGCTGATCTTGTTTGGACGTGATTCACAAACTAGAAGATCCTCAGATCACAAATTGGAAGATTTGGTGATGCTGATTTTAAGGAAAATATATATTGCACAATTGGAAAGATTTGGTGGCAATATATAGGAAAGCTTGGACCTAGAATTAGGTTAAGCTTTTAACGTAATATTCTCACAGAAACACAAACAGGGGTTTTGGGGTTTCAGGAAGTGAGTGATTTGTAAACGTGATCAACAGGGGTTGGTTCACGCAAAGGGTAGATTAAGAATTGGTCTGTGGCAAGCCNATTTGTAAACGTGATCAACAGGGGTTGGTTCACGCAAAGGGTAGATTAAGAATTGGTCTGTGGCAAGCCGTGTGTGGCGTTGTGTAATTCAGATTAGACAAGTCTTTGTAAAAGATTGTTTAAGTGATTCTTAATAAAAAGACAGTTGGTCTTGAATCCTTTGTGTTCTTATTGGTTTCACCTGCTGTAGACTTTTCAATAAGCGCACGTGAGCTCGTGACCCGTTCGGATTTTGAGGAGATTCTTGAGACCGCTGCACGTTACGAGGAACTAAGCTCTGCCTCTGTGAGCTATATCTCGAAGCTGTCTATGTACAGAAGTGTTATAAAGGAAGGACTCAAATCCTCTCAGCGAGTTGAACTCGCTCAGGCACGTGCAAAGTTGCTTAAAGACATGGCCGATGAGAAGCAGAGAAATGTGGACGACCAGTTTGCGTTAGTCAAGGATTTGGCGCAGAGAGGAGACACGTTGTACGTGAAAATATTCGCTATCAAGAAGTTGGTGGCGAAGCTTGAGGCTGAGAAAGAAGAGGTTGATTTGAGTTTCGAGGAGATAGTTAGGAGTCTCTCACGGGTTATAGGGGAGGCTTCTGAGGCTTACGAGGAGTATCATGTTGTTGTGCGGAAGTGGAAGGAGGAGCAAGCTGCAGCGGAGTTCTCTCGTGAGGCTATTGAGAATGCAGAGGTTGTTTGGGTTCAGTTTCTCAGCACTCTTTAGAGACACAACCATTCGCTTTTAGTTACGCACTTTTGTACTCTTGTTTATGTTTTATTATCTACTTTTCATCAGTTTCCTTTCAGTTTCAAATAAAACTTCATTCCATGTGATCTGAGGGCCTTGTCTCATTCATCTTATAAAAAAAAATTATTAAAATTTTCATGGTTATGGCCACAAGGTTGGGACATGTTCGAAAATTATGGACTTTTGTCAAACTAACTCCAGAAATGAACGCTTAAATCTATTAAAGCTTGTCACATTCCTCTTATAAAAACTCCACCAAAAAATTCCATGGGCATTGTCAGATACAAAAAACAAAATCTATTCAAGATTGAGATACAAAGGTAATAAAGATAGGATTGGTACAAGATTGGGACATGTTCGATGACTTCAAAAAATGATAGACTTGTTCAAAAAAATTGGTATTCTTTCTTTGCCAAAATTTCAAAAGTCTAAAAGTCCATCTTCAGCTCGTGGGCTATTCTAACGATTTGTGCTTATTTGTGCCATTGGGTTTTAACAATAAAACTTTTTGACAAGAAAAACGCGTGGCGTTTAAGAAGACAAAAACGTCTTGTTTACTCGTTTCTAAGTATCAAACAACACACAGTTTATATTTCTTTCAGATTTCTGTTTTCATCTTCATCACTCGCTCTGTGGCCTCTCTGACCATTCCCAAAGCAAATAGCTTCTGCGATCTTCATCCTCCTCTGGTTTCGTATCTGATTGTAAGCTTCCTTATATTCCAAAACGTGTTTTCTCGATCTCAAATACACCATCTTATAACTAATCAAGTGAAGAGATTGATCTTTGTAATGTAACGACTCGTAGAAACTTTAACCTAGATCTAGACTCGGGGAATCAATTCCTGAGAAAGTTTGTTTCTTTCAATTGCAGTGATTTAGGGAAAGGAGATGGGTTTCATAATGGAGTTTGCGGAGAATCTGGTGCTGAGGTTAATGGAAGATCCGGAGGTGAGAGACAGGAAAGCGAGGGAGCACATATACGAGATGCACGAGAGGTGCAAGAAGATCAAGGAGATGTGGGCTTTGCCTATTCGTCCTTATGGTTTCTGGACTTTTGAGCGTCACAATGCTCAGCTTCGTTGGGATCCTCAGATCAGTCAGGTTGCTGGTCGTAGGGACCCTTATGATGATCTCCTCAAGGACCATCCTTCTTCGAACTGATCAAACAGTGGTGAGTTATCTCGTGGTTACTTTGAATATGGGTTTTACCTCATAGCTGCATTTGTCTCTGTTGTTGTTAGATGATTTGGCATGGTCGGTCGATTTATGTTTTAGCTTCATTTTTGGTGCTTAGTCTTTAGCCGCTGTAAATGTGTTATGTTTAGTAGTGTATATCCTTGGTTCATCCAAGTTATCTTGATTTTTTGGTTATTGTCTTAGCTATTGTAGATGTATTTTGTTCAGTAGTGTATCCTGTATAGTGGCGTATATTGTTTATTTGAGGAGTTTCTACATCTCGTTTACTTCTTTTCTTTAAGCAAAAGGAACTCAATATTGATTAATTTGTTTCATCTGTTGCAGAAGGGAGATGTGTTATGATGCTGTCTGGATGCATATGTCTCTGTTTCGATTATTCCCGGTTCTACTCCCTTCGTTTCTTTTTGTTGCTCAGGTGTCTTCAAGCGTGGTACAAACTCAGTAATAATCACTCTAGACTTGTTTACAAAAGAGAGGAGTACACTTTCATTGTTTCTTAATAAAGTTGCTTTGATTCTCCATTTGAAAATGAATATACTTTCTGAAATGTGATTAGTTTTTTCATGTTATTTAGTTTTGTTGCTCAAATATTACCTTCTTGGTTTACTAAGTATAAACAAACGCATCACACTAAGAAATGAAACACTTGCTACAAGACCAAATTCTGCCAGCAATGAGAAGGGCCTGATCAAATCAGTTACACAAGTAACCAAACCAAACTCTCCAAAGGCAACCAAATCACGAATGTTTCAATCAAAATATCTGAATAAGACGACTATTTTCTACGTTTTTAAAGTTCGAGTCGTGTGTGTATGTTTTTCTCTTGGATTGGATATTCAGCTGCGACAATAAACCTTGTAGGACATTCCAGTATGTGTATGCTTCCGATAGACCAGTGAAGGTATAATTTTTAGGTTCAGAATCAGTAGTTATCAAATGAGGAACAATGACGGAAAATTTTACAAAAGCCCAAATTATTAGTGCAAGTAATTCCCAATAAACATGTTTGAGTTTAATGCACTATATTCTCAACGGAAAAGAAGCATGAAAATAGTCTGCAACAGATATACTAATGCAGAACAGTAAAAGGAAACCTAAAGTAAGAGGCAGTGACTTATACAGAATATCATAAAACCACTATAAACCAATAAAACAAGTGACCTTTAATTCAACAAGTCTCGTACCAAAAGTAAGAAAGAACATAATTCTTAAACATGGGAATAAAGCGAGTGTATCATGAGAGTTTATGGATTATGGGAATTGGTAGAATACTATCATAGCCACTGAGTATGGTGACTTTCGTGTCTGATACTGTGGTCTCATCATCAATTAGGCTGAGATTTCTGGCGCTTCGAGTACTGCAGGATAGGGTCTCTCACCTGATAACCAAAAACCCAAAAGAGCATGTTAGTTTCAAAATTATCACTTATAAGTTGAAAACATAAAAGACTCTGTGGTTCTGTATTAAGAGACCGTGCTAGTTTTCCTGTAACGCCTGTCTTGTGAGGCTTGGCTACCGTCTGTGCTAGCGTCCTTGTTGATTTTAGCAGCCATTCCTTTTACAGCAAAACTCTCCCGCGACGCCACAGGCTGAGCCACAGTTACCAGATTAGGTACACTTAACAAGAGTCGCAAGAGAATACGTTTTTATTCATTGGTGTGTGATTCGAACCTGTGCATTGTTGCTGCTAATTGGAGTGTTATTAGCTTTGGAGATGGTTTGTTCACTTAGAACAGAGCCGTTCTGCTGCATCCCAGATCTTCTTTTCGTGCGTGTCAAGTCTGATCCAATAGAGTGGATGCCTCCACGTGTAGACCCATCTGCTTGTTTATAAAAAATGTTTTTGCGTGAACATCAAGACCGAATAACACATCTCAAAGCTTGGGTACGAAAAAGAGCATACCTGGGGTTAGTTTAGCATCTTGGCCGTTGGTCTTGTTTACAGTTTCGTCAACATCCACATCCTGTGAAACCATTCTCATTAGAAATCCCTTCCATGGATTTATTCAACAGTCTGAAGAATTACCATATCATCATTATCTGTGGCAAGAACTTTTCTGACTTCATTTAGCTTATTCTCGGTTAAAACTGAGTGAATTACACGCTTCCCTGTATATACAAATTTCATCAGTGAAGAAGCCATACCACCAACAAAACTTAAAAAAGAGAAGGGTCTGAACTGAGACAGCAAACCTAGCCTGCGGTTGCTAGAATCTTCCAGGTAGCCCTCTTGGATCATTCGGTCAATTAGCTTACGAACTACTGCCTGGTTGGCTTCACCATCCAACATGTTGTGAAGCTTTGTAATGGTCACATATTGCATCGGAAGAGAATGGTACAGGGCCTAACAAAAAACGTGTGTTAATGATGGATCTCAAGACCATTTTAATTTAGTAAGAAGTCAGAGTCTCTCACTTTCATGTACATGTAGTCTTCAGGAGCTACAGATTTCTCGTCCTTTGGAGCAGTTTTATTCTCATCTTCATCTTTCACAAAGTTGAATTCGGTCCATGAAGTCTGGTTATATTTTGGGGTTAGTTGATAAATAGAAAAAAAGAAAGAGAATGACATCAAGTCAGTAGGATGGGATCAATTGTATACCTTATCTCTGGTTATAATGTACGTGTCCTTCCCTGTTTTTGAAAGAAGACCTTCTTTCTCCAGCTGATCCACGATTTCTGAGAATCAGGATGTAACTGTTAGTGGAGGAAAATAGACTGAAATTCTCAGTATATAATAACTATAGAAAGCTGTAGATTCCATCGTCATATGATGATTCAACTGTCCTTTTTGGGGAAGAATTCCATCAAACTATTATTTACCTTCAGTCAGAGCCTGGAAAAAATAAAATAGAGTGGCTTAGAACGGCAGAAAACTAATATGCACGAGCTTGGTAATACATTGTAAGGAAAGGAAGAGGATTAAATCATTACTATTGAGATATCTGGGAAGTTAGAAAGGACATCCGTAAGCTCCAGAGTATTGAGGTGGCGGGAGTTGATCCAGTCCTTCACCCTTGCTAGCTGCTGTTGAGACTCAACCGGATCCTGAGTGTCATCTTGAAACATCCCACAGGTAGGTGAATTTAGAGGAAGCTTTTTCTATTCAGTAAAGTCAAGTTTTTGCGCTAATATTTTGATAATAGTTCACCTTCATCAACCTCTCCATCATCATCGTCTTGTTTCTCTGTTATAACATCAGGTTTACTCAGTTTAGTGCAAAACTTAACTAGACTGTCACATCATACTAAGATTTGTTGTAAGTTATCATTACCTACTGGCGCCAGAAGGAATTGAGCTTCTTTTGTTTGACTGATCTGGAAACAACAACAAAAAAACAGATTACGTTCTAGGCAAACCACGTAGGATGTCAAGATCTGAGTAAAAAGCAGATAAATGACTGTTAACCTCGCTATCTGAATCAGAAGGCGGGTCATCATGAACAGAATTAGATCTTGTGCTCTTCCCATCATCATCTTGCATGTCATCATTATCATCTTCACAAGGATCAAGCACGCTCTTGACCTGCACAGATATCCACGGTGAGTTGAAATCATAAGAAGGGATATATGTGTAACGAGTTACATATTCTTCAATTTCATTACCTTTAGCGTTAACACGAGATGTTTGCTGTTAACATTCCCAACTTCCATTCTCAGAGGATTCTTCGTCCAGACATGCTGAGCTTCTTCTTCTGAACAGCCTCTGAAGAAAGGTGGCTCGTAGTCGGGTGGCTGCAAAAAGATTCAAGTAACAGATGTCAGTCTTTCTTCTGAGAATTTAATTAGGCAGTGTGGAGAAAGTGAGATCGAATGAACAGCACTGGCAATATTAGAAAAAAAGTTTATGTAAACACAACAAATATAAAGCTACACGTAACTGTATAGAACTAATAACCAAAGTAGGATTTCACAAGCGTAGAGTTTGATTGCTTGTTATCAGCGTTAATATGGCAATCAGGGTCATTACACTATAGAAGCTTTATTCATATTGCATTAAGATCATAATGATATCACCAGTGTTTATTGAACTTGTGAATGCTATAACCATACCGTGACATCATCGTAGTACATAAGCTTCATCACTATGGTGCGCTGGAGCAGAAGCAAAAAAGAGTAAACTCTGTCATCAGCATTTGGAAACTGAAGTAAAGGGAATAAACCTGAAGGATAGTCAAAACAGTCATCACCTTGTCTGGCATTTTATCGAGAGTCCTCATCAACTGAACAAGTTGGCGAACCATTTTGCAAGCAGAACTCCTGATTTCAACACAATCATGAAAATCACAAAGCATGTTAGGGAAGCCAAAACCATTTAGATCTCAAAATATCTTTAACACAGTGCACACACCTCATTTGATTTGGGGTAATGTCAGCAGTGGAGTTAAAAGTTCCTCCTTGTTTCTTAGTTCCAGTGCGACTGATGTTCATCCTCACATCTTGGCTATCAGAGTCTGAATAGCTGAAATTGACTGCAGTAACACAGACTCTTCATCAAAATCAATATATAAAAAATGAATCCAACAGCAAACCACACTATCAATCATCTAACCAGAACTCACATGAGTATTCCTCAATCATAGGACCCTCCACTGATTCACATATGCAGAACATGAGCGTCTTCAAATACTTCTTCTGCAGCGCATCGTAGACACCTATATCCAGTGATGAGTACACAATCAGTTGAAATGAAGAGTAACAAAATGCTTAATATCATTAGTTTACAAAAAACCTTTCTCCATCCAGTCAATCAAACGGCGTGATTCAGGATCTATAGGCAACAGCTTCTTGATCTTCATATCTGTTTACAGAATCATCAGCCACTTACTATTATCTCTAGTTTATAAATACTGAACCTAGGAGATCTCAGATTAGCTTGTTACCTAAAGCAGGAACGGATTTATCATTGAAGTAGTTCTCGGGAAAGAGTCCCCTTATGTAGCTGATGTTGAAGATAGCAATACGGAGCAGATTCCTAGTCTGTTTCAACAAAAACCAACACCAAACACAGAAACGTCACCGTTTAACGCGCATTAACAGTTAATAATTTTTCAAACTAAGCAACAAACGTAAACAAGAGACGAAATCCATCTCTAAATCCAGATAATCTGCCAAAATCAACGAGAGATTTCACTAAGACCAAGAGATAATAACCACGACGATCATCAGAAGTAACGAGAAGTTTTCACAAACTCGAGATACGAAATCGATCTAATCTCATCTCTATATGATAAGCGCGACCTGATCCATATCAGTAACTTCGAAAACCGCAAGTAATGAACGAGTAACTTCACAGATTACATAAGAAACAGAAACGAAAGCTCGATGAAGGCGATTTTGCTCACCAGAAGGAGCGAGTCCTGCTCGGTGATCTCAGCTTCCTTCAGCTTCTGAGCCATAACCTGAGATAAGAAGAAGGAGAAAAAAAAAAGCAACACGAAATCAGATATCGAGAACTTTCCGAAGGCTAAGAGATGAAAGCGGAGAGAGAGGAAGCGATGATCGGCGTCTTCCGCTCACCATTTTTTGCAGAGGAAGAAGGAGTTTCGTTTTCTATCTCAGAGAGAAAAAGAGGAGAAAATTTCGAAAAGGAGATGAAAATGGAAGAAGAGAGTGTGAGAGTCT